TTCACTCGTCGCGTGGTTCCTTTGAATAGAGACGTCTGGGCATCGTACTGACATTAATTGTTGGTGTGTGTGACCTGTCGGTATCCAACAAGTAAGGATACACTTCTGTACAGAGGTGGTGAAAGAACTTTACCGACAAAAACAGGGAGTAACGATAAGTTTCGACTCGCCTAAACATTTGACAAAGCTAGTTACCGAACGTGGTTCTCTAATGCGAGCAGATATTTCATAAACGTGGTATTCTTGGTTACTTTCCGTACATCTCAATCTTATGTGGTGCAGACGTAACAGTAAACGTCGATCGGATAATTGAGTTACTAGTTTTTGTACGTACGTCGACTAGTCACTCAGAAGTTCTTTAGTCCTGATCAAAGAAAGATAAGACTATTACTAACTGAGATTAGAGTTCACTAGGTAGTAACAACGCATAGTTTAACATAAAAAACTTCTGGGAATATTTTTAGAAAGACTGTGGGGGTGATCTGGTATAAGAGTTGGTTTCACTGCGGAGGAAGACTGTCCACTTAGTAGTTCCGAAGTGTTTGGTTCTGAGTCAACAAACGTCGTCAAACTCAACACCAACAACTCTGTCAAGCCCCATATCGTCATAAGTACCATAAACTTGTCCGACAGTACGACTAGAAGACGTTTCTGTCCTCAAATAGAAGGGACCCACAACTCTCGAGAAGACAGTCAACACACCCTAGACCACCACTTTGGTACCAAGTCTCACATTACGAGGGTAGTGGGCGAACATGTCTTTGAAGTGAGGACTCTTCGAACTCAAATTTAATCGGTCTGTAAATTAGAGGGTAACGTCTCATAGTAGTCAAGTGGAAAGAACTAGTTTTACGTCCAGCTGACATAGTGACCCACGATTGGACCAATGAATTTACATCAATGTCAGTTACTAACACAACTACCAACAGTAATAATTTAGACTCGACGTCTGCCCAGTACAAAAACAAAGTACTACGCACAGTTAAATGGGTCCCAGTGGTGATATATGTGATGTCACGTTGTTCGTTTCCACTGGTTTTTTTGTGTGCAAGAAGAGTAATATTCTATTTTTTCCTGAGACTTAACATGAGTTTCTAATTCGCTACTATTCCTCAATTTTGCCCACTAGACTACTACCGTGTCACATGAAGTGCGGACAAAAGTTGTTCTTGACCAAGACAATAATCGGTTGCATGCTTTCTAGAGAGTATAGCTGGTTAAACTTTGTTTTTTTTTTTTTTTTACTGATAATGAAATTAGATAAGGTTTAATTTTCTTTTATTTTCGTTATTAGATTTTATTGTTCCTAGTTACACGTAAAGTCAAAATTACAGTTCGCAATCTTTGACCTTTGTAATCCTTATTATGTGTGTAGGAAAGACAGGGAAAACGGGTACACAATTCCAATTTCCGCCAGAAACACACCCTTCCACTTTACTGTGTAGTAATTAGTTATAAGAGGTTACTTATGTAATTGTAAGTTTGAATTTAGTTTTACGACTAAACCTTACATATTACTCATATTCCATGCCTAATGAACCATATGCATTTAAACAAAAAAATTTTAGACATAGAGGGTGGAGGCCCCACTCGGACGCCACCGGAACTTGAGTCCCAATCCACTCCCGGCGACAGGCCAGACGTTTCACAAGAGTGGAGTGTTTCACAGAGTGAGTGTGTCACAGAGTGAGTGTGTAACAGAGTGAGTTGTGTCACACAGAGTGAGTGTGTCACAAGAGTGAGTGTTTCCACCATGAGTGAGTGTGTACACAGCAGTGAGTGGTTTCACACAGAGAGTGTGTCACACAGAGTGCAGGTGATACACAGATGTGAGTGATAGACACAAGTGAGTGTTTCCCACAGAGTGAGTGGTTTCAGAACAGAGTGAGTGTGTCACAGAGTGAGTAGTTTCAAGAGTGAGTGTTTTAGACAGATGAATGTGTCACACAGAGTGAGTGTTTCACCTAGAGTGAGTGTTTCAAACAGAGTGAGTGTTTCAGACAGCAGTGAGTATGTCACAGAGTGAGTGTTCAGACAGAGTGAGTGGTGTCACACAGGTGAGTGATAACACAGAGTAGTGTGTCACAAGAGTGAGTGTTTCAGACAGAGTGAGTGTGGTCACACAGAGTGATAGTGTGTCACAGAGTGAGTGTCTCAGACAGGAGTTGGGAGTAGGTGCACACAGAGTGAGTGTTCAGACAGAGTGAGTGCGGCTCAGACAGAAGTGAGTGGTTTCATGACAGAGTCAGTGGTGTCACACAGAGTGAAGTGTGTCACACAGAGTGAGTGTTTCGTACAGAGGTGAGTGTGTACAGAGTGAGTGTTTCAGACAGAGTGAGCTTGTTTCAGACAGAGTGAGTGTGTCACACCAGAGTCGAGTGTTTCAGAACAGAGGTGCAGTGTTTCAGACCAGAGTGACGTGTGTCAACACAGAGTTGAGTGTTTCAGACAGTAGTGAGTGGTGTAAGCATGAGTGAGTCGTCTTCGACCAGAAGTGGTGTGTCCGACAGGTCGAGTGTTTAGACAGCAGTCCGACGTGTCTCTCAGACACGCAGTGAGTGCGATCCACAGAGTGAGTGTTTCAGACAAGAGTGACGCTCGTGTCACCAGCAGTGAGTGTTCCACAAGAGTGCAGTGTGTCGCACACCAGAGTGAGTGTTTCAGACAGAAGTGAGTGTGTCAGTAAGCAGTGAGTGCTTTCCAGAACAGAGTGAGTGTGGGCC